AAGAAATATGAACCTTTTAAAAGAAAACTTAAAAACTATTTAGTAGATTCATGTTTTTATAATTTATCTAAATACCACCATATTTTAAGGTAAATGTTTTTTCTAATTGTATATTTTTAATGTGCATGTCTTAGATATATAGATTTTTTTTTGTATACTGTACCTATATTTATTTGTATTTTAATCTTTTTTATTCATATATATTATGACTTATCCTACATCATGTAACATGATCGATCCTAAAGGACAAATAAACTATTATTATTATGTGTGTGGTCTGCCTAAGATATTGTTTGTACCGTAGTGTTGCTCTCTGTAAAACCTAAATTTTCTCTGGTATGTACAAATTTTATTTACAAAGAATATATCAACGCAAAAGATTAGCATATACAGAATAACATTTTATCCAAAGATTTGGAAAATCTTTCAATTGTGGAAAAATATCTACAAAATACCATAAAATAACCTATAAAGCAAACTAAATAAATACACCAGCAAAAACTCCTATAATATATTATTTATCAATTAATCATAAGTACCGGTTTTAAATTAGAATATACGATTATAAAGGTGACCATACACTTCAGTAAAGCTAAACATTTCGATGCTTTGATATTGGAAAATGGCAAATTTAAGTACGTTGTCACCGGAGCTTTCTCAATTGTATGAGTTATTTTTAAAAGCAAATCGTGATCAAACTGAAGAAATAAAAACAGAGTTTCAAAGCGTCACAAATTCTTTGAATGAAAGGTTAGATGAAGCTTTTGATGAAATTAAGATTTTAAAAGAAAAGAATGTAGAATTAGAGAGAAGAGTGAGAAAAAATAATATTATACTATTTGGGGTCCAACGAGAAGAAGCAGAAAATATTTTAGAAAAAAGCATTAAAATTTTAAACGAAAATCTTTCATGTAATTTAAAAACACAGGACATAAATAATACATATAGACTAGGAAAAACTAACAAGGCTCCTGTACTCGTGGAATTTGTATCGTATTTAAACAAATCTTCACTATTCAAGGATTCCTCAAAACTCAAAGAACTGAATGATAAGGGTTTATCAATAACAAATGATCTTTCGAATGAAGATAGAGAGAAGATAAAAATATTGCGAAAACACCAAAAAGCGGCTCGAATACAAAATTTTGATGCCAAAATTAAGGGGCTGAAACTAATTGTTGATGGTAAATTTTATTCGGTGGAACAATTAGAAGAGAAACAAAAAAGTGAAGAGGAAAGCGATTTTGAAGAAGAAGAAGTAGAAGAGGAAGAAACTGAAAAGAGTACTGGTTCAAAGAAAAGAAAACAACAGAAAGCTATGTTTAGTCCAGTGAGTACCAGGAGTACTAAAAGGCAAAAATAAAAAAATATTATTTTCGTTTATGTTTTCAATAGTTTTTATATTGGTAAATAATTAAGTAGTAATATTGTAATTATATTTTATGTAAAAAATGGACCAATTTATTGAACAGTGTGATATTGAACCAGTAGCTACCCAAAAAATTTATAATCTTAGTAACTTTAAAAAACATGTCTCATTAAATGATTTCAAAATCTTTCATATGAATATTCGCAGTGTACAAAAGAATATTGATCAATTATTTGTAATGTTAGATAATGTATCTGTTGAATTTGATCTCATTATACTAACAGAAACTCTCCAACTGTATGATCCACATTTGTTTCAAATTCCGAATTATGACACTTTATATAGTGAAGGACAACTAAATAGAAACGACGGAGTATTATGTTTTATTAAAAATAATTTAAAATATGAATCTAAAAACATTAATATAGGTGAGGTTAGAGGTTTAAACATTAAAATTACATCTTCTAAAAATAATATAAATATCACAGCTATTTATCGTTCCCCTAGTATTTCGCAATCCGATTTTAATTTGGAGCTGTTGAATTATTTGGATAGCTCCTCTAAAAGTGACATTAATATAATTACGGGAGATATAAATATGAATCTTTTGTCTGATAGTGAATATATTGAGGAATATAAAAACATTTTAAGTTATCATGGTTTCACATCATACATTAATGAGTACACAAGATTACCAAGTAAAACATGTTTGGATCATTTTTGGGTCAAGAGTCGATGGAGTGCAGAAAGTATTAACATAAAATCATTTATATTTAGACAATACATTACCGATCACAGTCCTATAGGGCTGACATTTCAAAATGAAACTACTAATAATAAACAACGCATTAGAGATACTAAAACATTTATAAATTATAAAAAACTTCAGTTAGATTTAGATAAAGTTAATTGGGAAGATATATATAATGAACTAAACGTAGATGATATGTGGGAAAGATTCATATCTAAATTAAAACATTATATAAATAAAAATACAATGACAGTTTTTACAAAAAATCGAATAACGTATAAGAAAAAGTGGATAACAGCTGGCTTATTTAAATCTATAAAAGAAAAAGAAAAACTTTACAAACAAACTTTACGGAATCCAGAAAATGTTGAAATTAGAGAAAGGTATAGACATTACAACAATAAATTAAATAATATAATAAAGAAAGCCAAACGAACATATTTTTCCCAACAAATTAATAATAATCAAAATACATCTAAGGCTTTATGGGACTGTGTGAATGATATTTGTGGAAAACAGAGACATGAAACAAAAATTGATGAAATAAAATTAATTGATGGTACGAAGGATACTGATAATGATGAAATTGCTAACCACTTTAATAATTATTTCAGCACTATAGGCGAAGTGTTGGCCAATAAAATACCAAATTTACAGAATTATAAGGATAATTTAGACTTTTTGGAAAACACTATGTATATGTATCAAACTGACCAGTTAGAAGTGTTAGAAATCATAAAAAATCTTAAAAACAAAAAATCGCCAGGTATTGATCAAATAAGAGCAGAAAGTATAAAACAAATCGCTTGTAAAATTATTCATCCATTAACATTCTTAATAAATAAAAATCTAGATACAGGGTGTTTTCCAAAAGTACTGAAGTGTTCTGTAATAAAACCTCTGTACAAAAGTGGCAGTAAACTTGATATTGGTAATTATAGACCAGTATCTCTTCTGTCGAATTTTTCAAAAATTTTGGAAAAAATAATGAAAAAGAGACTATGCAGTTTTTTAAATAAGTTTAAAATTCTATCGAATAATCAATATGGCTTTAGAGAGGGAAAATCGACCGATGATGCTATCTATAAATTAACTTCAACTATATATGATGCATTAGATAAAAAAACACCTATACTTAGTATCTTTCTCGACCTCTCAAAAGCCTTTGACACTGTATGTCATAAAAAATTGTTGGAAAAATTAGAAAAATATGGGATTCGTGGGAAAGCCCTTCGATATCTTTGAAAGTTACCTATCAAATAGAGAACAGTTAGTACAAATTAACAATGTTAATAGTAACAAACAGATCGTAACCTGTGGTGTCCCACAAGGTACTGTTTTAGGACCTGTTCTTTTCACACTCTACATTAATAGCCTACTACACTTAGACACATCCGCTAAAATAATAAGTTTCGCTGATGATACTGCCGTTCTATACTCTTCATCTTCATGGAGGAACCTAAAAGAAAAAGTAGAAACTGATTTCCCTAAAATATCAAAATGGCTTCAGTTTAATAAATTAACATTAAATTATGAGAAAACTAGATACTTACCATTTTCCTCTTATGCGACAGGCCTTCCTATGTTGGGTCCATTAAGTGTGGGATTAAATAACGAAGTTTGTGAATCTTCATCAATAAAATATTTAGGGATTATTGTGGATAGACATATGAAATGGGACCTTCACTTAAAACAACTAATAAAAAAGTTATGATGTTTTCTACCAAAATTTAGATATCTATGTGACTTTCTAAACTTACATTGCTTAAGGTCTCTTTATTTTTCTTTAATACAATCCTTATTAGTATACGGTATCATTGGTTGGGGAGGTGTGTATGATAATACTTTGAAAAATGTTAATGTAATACAAAAATGGATTTTAAGGATAATTTACAAAAAAAATATTTTATACCCCAGTAATGCACTTTACGAAGATTCCAATATCTACGATATCAGACAACTATATTTTATACAGATATTATTATTTTTAAAGAAATCTAAGATTATATTAATATCTCATGACCATCCCTACAATACACGTCGACCTGATGCTATTTTATTTCCGCGATCTGAAAAAAGTATTGGCCAAAGATGTAGTGATTATCTGGCTCCTAGAATTTTTGTTTTGATACCTCAAGAAATAAAGGACATTTCTTTGTACAGCAGATACAAAAATAAACTAAAAATCTGGCTCCAAAAAGAGCGTAAATTAGCAAGTGATGCTATAAATCAGATTTAAAAATTTTAAAATTTAAAAATATGTATATGTATCTTTCTCTCCATAAAAACTGTCACGATAATAAGATTGGTCTATTTCTTTATGTTTTTATTTATATTATCTTTCTATTTTTAATATTTTAATTGTTATTTGTAATCTAATTTGTATTTGCATTTTATATTTTTTTAGGTTTGTTCTAATTTTAAAAAATTATTTAAATTTATGTTGTTGGGTTTTATAGGGACATATATGCTTTGTATGTATTGTATATGTGCCTTATCACATACAAGCAGTTTTAAACTGCTTCTGTGATTGCCCCCTATTGTTTATTCAATTTTTTTTTTAACTGTATATGTATCAATGTATTATCTGAATAAACATTATTATTATTATTATTATTTCGGAAACCAGTAATATTTTATCGTCTTATTTTTTAATCAGTTGTGCCATTATTAAAGATTTTAGAAGTTCTCATGGTTATAAAAAGTGAAAAAAGAATATTTTTTTAGGAACAGTTTTTGAATAACTTCTATTAACTTATTACTTTAATTTTTTTTTCTAAATTGCTAGACAGAACATCCTTAAATAACAGAGAATTTAATATATTTACTAGCAAATATATTTGAGCTCACCTTACTTTTGTGAGGTTTTTATTGTTTTAGGAAGAAAATAAAACTTTTCGTATGCTTCTGAATGAATGTACTAGACGGCTTAAGGTACTGTCAAAAAAATTAGGCAACTGTATAGAAAAGGCTCGACCTTACTATGAACTATTAGAAGTTGCTAAAAAAGCTCAACAGGAGTGCCAAGAAGCAGCTGCATTGTATAAAAAAGCTCACGGTAATTGATGTTACATAACATACATTACATCATTAATAAAATAAAAGTAAATTTATTCATACACTATTATATAATTTTTTATTGATTGTAATAATCTATATTATTTTCAGTAATATCACTTTTTTATTTTTTAAGGAATACATGCTGCAGCTAAAGAAACAGTGGCCCTAGCAGAGCAACAATTTTTAACGAACCAACACGAATGGCAGTTTGATAATGCTTGGCAAGAGATGCTCAATCATGCTACTATGAAGGTATTAGTACAATATTTTCATTAAATACCATACTTTTTTTTTCTATTTAAAAATGGAATATACTTATGATGGAAACACGTTGAAAATTATTTTTTGGTTTTATGGAAAAAAGTTATGCATGATCTTAAATAAAAATACAATCATGACATCAAAATGTATCAGCTATATAAGGAGTTTGCCATGAAATATTAATTTAGTATTATATAATATCGAAATTTCTGGGATCTGATTGTAAGTGATTGTTTGAAAGGTCATTGACGATTGAAAAAAAATTTAGGTCATCTGCATATAGGAGGCAACTGGAGTTATTAAAACAAGTTGTTACATCGTTAATAAAAAGTATGAACAATATAGATCATATATGCGAACCCTGTGGCACACCTGAATATACCAAAATTTCGCTAGATGTGAAATCACATAAATTCACTCTCTGACAACGTTCAGTTAAATAGGAACGAATAAACTCAAGGTAGTTGCCGATAATACCCATCTTCTTTAATTTATCTAACAGCAAGAAATGACAAACGCTGTCGAAAGCTTTAGACAGATCAGTGTAGATAGAGTTCACTTGTTTGTTATCCTCTATTGCAGATAAAAGAAGCTGCTGATACTCAGCAAGATTAGTAGTTGCTGATCGCCTTTTGAAAAAGCTATGCTGTTGTGGTGCAATGTAACACAAAAAAATATAAATATCTCATCTGTTATTATAGCCTCCATGACTTTAGGAATGAATGCTGGATATAATCGAGATTCCTTGATAGTTTGAAACATTAGAGTTAGAATATTATCAACGTTGGGAAAAGAAACCATCATCAAAACATTTTTGGAATAAATGACATAGAATAAAATTTGAGGAATTCCATCCGGACCAAGGCCTCTAGAGACATCTTACTGAAGCAAGTGAGTGATGATCTCTTCAGTGAAAACGCGAGAGGAAAGATTACTAGAGAAATCAGTAATGAGGTTAGAAGAGATAACAACATTGTGTTTAATGGAACAAGACCACAGAATAACCTACCTATTACAGAAGCGAAGGCTTGCGTCGGCACGTTTGATGTCGGGGTGGCCAAAATTTAAAGTGACACTCGGTGACAGTTGACGTTTTTGCCGGTTGTTACACTGGTAAAAATGAACAAGATTCATATAAATTCGGATAATACACTGAAAAAAGGATTTAAATATAAGTAACAAACTTATTTAGCAACATCCACTCTTTCTTCTCTGAATTGAAGGTTAGTGATATAATTAGAAAAATAAGGCTTCACAATAATTTATTTTGAAGTAAATTGTACTGATCGCTAAACTAAAAAAGGTTTTTATTTGAGGAATCAGACCGAATACTCGTTGTACTTAATTCATCAGTTTTTTAGATAACTTTAACTCTTTAACAGAGTGATTCTATTACAATTTATTGATGTATTAATTAATTGTGTACTTTCCTGGAAAACACCTTCAACTATAATAGTTGGATCTAGAAAAATAGATTAAACTGTTAATAACTGGCATTAAAAATGCAAATATACATCCCAAGTGTAATTTTGAAAGCCTTTTTATGTGTTTTAGAGCCTTATGATTTGTCAATAATACCATAAACAAACCTTGTAATAAGACTTTTGCCATACTCTCTTATAATAATTTGACAACTCGGTGGATAAATCCGTGATTTTTTAAAATTCAATTTTTGTAAACAAAATTAATCTAGTATTCGTTGATAGAAAAGCATCACCAATAATTGGCGTAACGATTTATTACACTGTTTTACACTAGCACTAACGTTCACTGCACTAGCTCAAATGGCTTTTCTTTCTTTCGAGTCTTCTGTGCAGAGTTGTCCAGTAACTGCAGCACTTCTTCATTAACGTGAGAGTGGAGTCGACCCTCATGTTTTGCAGTAACCTCTTTTTCTTATTTGTCTATATGAAGATAATCATTTAGATAGAGCCAAGGTGCATCAATGATACATCTTAGCACTTTATTTTGGAAAACTTTTATTATGGCACATCGTAGTAGCTCTATTTCATAAATCCAGACTGGATTTAGGATTTGTTTATAAATCATATGATGTCATTTATGTCCACATAAATTTGCATTTTTAGATGCATATTTATTAGAACTTTGAATTAAATTGAGATTTGAAGGAAAGTATTGTAGGAAAAAGGTTGTTTTAAATAAAACACGTACTCATACTGACTATTAATTTTAATAAACCAAAATTCGAAAAACACGTATTACAAAAATCAAATTAATAAAAATCTCAATATGAAAAATACATACCAAAAGGCACAAAATTTTAGCCAAAGGAATATGCCCTAGGTCCTAAAAAATACAAGGTAAGCGCAAACTGCTTGTATTTATTGGAATGCCTTCTAGCTAGATGCTTTTTGTTTTTAAATTCCACTTGAGATTTAACTATATCTGCAAACGGTTGGTTTAAAAATTGTTGCCCAACCGAAGGATATTTTTGGGACTGGCACATGCATTATCGAAATAGAAACAATATCTCTTTAATCTTCAAAGTTAGTCATTCTTTTGCTGGGACCTAAAAAAATACATAAACACAACACTTTTATATTATTTTTAATAACTGGTGTACTGAGAAAATCGTCGTGGGATTTAGTAGTAGATGTTGAGGGTACAGATTCATTCAGAATGATCAATATTTTCATTTGTTGCGGGTGTGTGTGTGCCAGAATATTGTCAGAAGTACATTTTCAAATAAACGTTTCCGAGTTGATCCAACTGAAAAACTACTGGGCTGGAAATGTTTTTTACACAACTGGTAGCGTTTGTGTAATTATTCACTGGTTATATTAATCAAGTCTTTTCGATTACAGGCTCTTAACCACATGGGAACCCTAAAAAAAATACAAAAGACATTTTCATAGGTACATAAATATAATTTGATTTAAAAATGATAATAAAATAATTGTTTTGATTAAATAGCCAAATAAATAATATACAGTTAACATTGCTGCATTTGAAAAGTACCTCGTTTTACGCACTTTACTCGAAGCCGTTCTTTTAATACATCTGTGGTTTCTCGATGGGATCTGCTCCATGGTCTTTTAATGCAGAGCTTTTATAGTAAATGTAATTTATGTGACAATGGACCAAGAAAAAAGCTGAAAACTGTTTTTAACTATGCAGTTCACTGGAAAAAAGCAACTGAAGTTGTAGATGTACTTCTGTGAGAAGTACAGACAGTTGTCTGTTGTCTCTTGTGTCACAGTTTATCCCTTTTCACCTTATTTACATATTTGGCTGTTCCGTTTTTATAAAGTAACCCGACTATAGCTACTTTAATCGCCCGGACTATTTTTTTTATCGTTACAAATTATGCGTTAGTTCAGTGTGATGTCATTTTGGTTCCACTGACATTTAATTCTAACCAAACTTTTAACAAAAACATCAATAAATTTGACATATACGTTTTTACTGTTTTTATTTTATTTCAAAATATTGTTTACAGGCCATAAAAAATAGTTTAAAGGTATGTAATTGGTAACTAAACGATTGTATATTTGATACATGCTATCTACTTACTTTAAGAATATATTTATAAAAGTGAAAAAAACGATATAATTTAGGTAAACAAAACGAACAAAACGCACTCAAAAAATCTACTGTCACTTTAATTGTCAGTGGAACCGTAATTACATCATCACTGAACTAGCGCATTGCATCAAGAGCGCTGCAATCACCTCCGTTTCCGCATATCCGCGAAGAATTAGTGTTCCCGCAAAAACAATAGAAATGATTGTCGTTTCGTACAGGGTGTAAAAAAATTTGCGTCACTTCGCCATTATTACGTGTGAAGTCGTTGTCGTTGCATCTATTCGAGTCAAAAGGGTAGACTATTCGGATCGCTCGATCGAACAAATTGTTGTGTCTTTACCGGTATAATTGATCATATCGGTATATATTGTAACGGTCAATAAAATCTATAAGTTGAAATTAAAGAAAATTAACGCAAAATCATGTATAATTAAGAAATAATTGAAGTTATGAATCACCTGGTATATCAAACCGCAAAGTAACAATAATTAATAAATAATGTGCATCATTTTTAGTCAAATGAATTAGTTTGACCAGAAGAAAAGACGAAATAAGTCTCAAATAATGAGAATAATTATGAATAACTAATAACGTAATACTTACAATTTTGCTTTAACAGGTTTGTGAAGTACAAATAAAACAATAATTTGCAACCTGTAAATGAGTCCTTGAGAATATTGCATACAAATAAGACTGATCTCACTGGTAGTATCATAGTATCAGTCAAGCCGTTAAAAAAATCCACAGGAAACAGTTTTCTCCAAATAAGTGCAGGAAATCTACAAAGAATAAAGTTTATAACATTAAATAATTAGGAAAAAAAATGATAAATAGAAGCATGTAGGTTAACGATCAATAAACAAATTAAACTAATAAACACAACTTAATAAGAGAAAATTAAGAAACTTTGTGCCTGACAACAAAACACATATTTTATTGAGTTTGTAAATACTTGTAAATAGTTTTAAGAAGTAGAATAAGTGTTTAAATGATTCATTTACATTTAAAAAAGTGATAACAAAACAAGAAACACTTTTATTAGTGAAAGCCAAGAAAAAGACAATACTTTTGTTTCCCCCTGTATATATCCTGACATTTTAATTATTAAAATTAAGACATCAACTTACCTGACAAAAGTGACTTGATTAGGGAATATGTGAGAGTTTTCGGTTCGGTTTCCATGGAAACTGTTTGAACAATTGGGACAGTGTGGTGGAAGAAAAAAAAAATCAGAATTTAAAAAAATCTCTTTTGAAAATTGGGTAGAAAATTACCTATTTTCCATTCTACAAGTGATTTTCGTTGCAAAATCACATCACAGAGTCTAGTTTTTCCATCACAAACGTTGCTGTGGTGCTTTGAACCAGAAAGGACACACATTTCTACAAGATTGGACATAGGATTCTCCAAGCTGTGCATAAAAGTGATATTCTTGCGCTAAAACATTAAAAATGAGATCTCAGGTAGCAAAAACTTAAATATTTTGCAAAATATTAACAATATGAAAGGCCTATAAACTTTGATAAAAGTTCCATTTTAAAAAAGAATTGAATCTTAATTTTAGTAGTGAATAATTTTTTTTATAATGAATTTAACTTGAACGACAAATAAATATCTCCTTATTTGAGCAATTTAGATTTTGTTAAAATCAAATTGAACGAAATAGACAGCTCAAGTAAGAAATTTATATGTCATTCGGAATTTTAATTTAAATAGAAAAGGAATCATATGGTTTCGTCTCGCAGCTAAAAGTAATCAAAATTAATAATTTAAAATCTAAATATTAACAGTGAATCAACTAGCTATTACTACGAACCTTGTGAATGAAACCTAATGATTTCTTGGAAGAATCTTATAAAATATTTCATTGTTGTCAGGTACAAACAAAATATAAAAATGTACTTATCTGGTATAACCTCAAATTTCCATGCCTCGTAAATTATTTTTTAATACACTTTAATATTTAATTGTTCCTTGTGTTTTGGCAGATTTTACTAGATTGCGTTTGTTTCTTCCTTATAAATAAATGTTCTTTATTTACACTTATATTCGCTTTTCTTTTGGTTTAAACTTTATACAAGCATAAATAACAAGTGACCATATTGATAAAATCGGACGAGCTCGTATCGCAGCGCCGTCTGGCGTGAAACAAATAAATCTCTGCAACCACAGAATCTGACCTACCCCTGAGAAATATTTAGTAATTGTGGATGATGAATGGTTTTATAAAACAAATATTTTAATAATTCGATTTAAATTAAAGGTAGTTATAAACAAGTGATTTGAATTTAATTAATTTTGTTATTCCAACAATGGCGCCCAACAACCGGTTAATAGCAACTCTTGCTAGAATTAGACCATATCCACTCTCGTAACCGCCACAATATATAAGTGTGTTTCCCAAGAAAATAAAGTGTTGGATTCTACAGAGCAACGGGGGCCCCCTCCTTATGTCTTCGAGTCGCTACAGGAACTGGTAAGGAATTGTGTCGCTTTATTTTCAAAGGAACTTATATTTTCGTGGTTCGCCCGAACAAAATCGTGTTTTTTTATTTTAAAACAAAACACTGGTTATTAAGAGCAAAAAATATTTATAAAAAATGTTGGACGAAAATGAGAACATGTTTTATTTTCTAGTGATGGCAAAAAGCGAAAAATAACACAGCTAAAAATGAAGTTTATTTTGCAACTTGCAACAAAAACCAGGAGAAGAGAAATCAAATTTGATTTAAAAGAAAGGTTTTAGTTTATTTTAATGGAAACCGAAAACTGGAAACACAAACAAATCTATAGCTGTACTTTTATTCCACATAAGCTCGATTATCACATAAAAATCTACTAGTTCTACTTCGCTCCAGGAGGTACTTTTCAAACGTAGCACATAACGTTGGTAAATTTGGATATCTGGATCAAAATTTAAACTATTTGTTGGGTAGAGCTATCAGTTTTCCTCATTTAAATTGCATAATTTATTTTGCATAATTTATTTTGCATACCTTTCTGAAACTTTGGAAACATAAATAGTATTCGAATCCGTTCGAGGTAGACATGGGCGATAAACACATCTCTTTCTTTTAGATTCCATCAGTTCACTAAAAAATTATTTTACTTTAATAAAATAAATAAAAATATGTAAATAGCTCAGCACATACCACAAAAGTCTTCGATTAAAAACATGTTTTTGTTAGACAAAGGAAACACTAAACACAGATTTACTCAATAATTGTTAAAAAATATACAAATGAAAACACTAAAACACACTAAATTCGATAAAAAAAATCATAAATTACAAAAGACTGATCCTGACACATCAAAACAACACTCGCATATGACATGACAGTTTTGCCGGTTATAAAATGGCGGCCCTGATCATGCGCAAAACTTTTGGATCTTATCCTTCGTTTCTGTAATACGTAGATTATTTTGTGACAGGACTGAATATGAAAGGCAAAAATGCCTCAACTATTTCTTCAGGGTCATAAATTAATTTGCCATTAGATTTGTTTTTGGAGGCAATACATTTTCGAAGTTCACTGCCAAACCATTTTGGATATTTAATGTTTTTTTTACTCTTTTTTGGGACAAATTGATTGACGTCTTGAAACAAAATGTCATAAAATTTTTCAACTCTGTCTTCGATGTTTGGTACTTTATTGACTGACGTCCAGTCCACCGGGTTGTAAAAGTTATTAAGTTTTTTAAAATTAGTGTCTTTAAATATATACACAGTACTATTGCAAGAATTGGATTTAGTTGGACAAGCCACTTTATTCATTGTCCATAATTGTAAATATAAAGAACTATCCTAATTATTTTTCTACTTCATTCTACCTACACATAGATGGAATTAATAGGAAAATAAAAGTAGACATTTGGCAAACAAAATTTATTTATTCATCCATGTCACGAGACATAAACTTGAATTATAATTATTTTTTCAGTCTCTACAAAATGTTGCTACTGTAAAATTTTCTATGGACTATAAAAAAGTGACCATTGTAGCTAATTTTTTCCAAAAAAAAAATGTAATTCGTTCAATTTTTTGTTTTAAATTTTAGCATTTTGAACTTACATAACAAATGTAACAATTATAATTGTCAGGTTATGGAAGCGGAAACGAAAAAAGCCGAATGCGGACGTGACCATCAACGAAAAGCAATCGCCTTCAAAGAACTAGAGGAAAAACTGAAATCTCAAGAAGATAAACTTCACAAAACTATAATTAAAGCTCGTCCCTACTTTGATGAAAAATCGTTATGTCAAGACCAGTTAAATACTCAGAAAACCCGCATAGGAAGTCTCAAACAAGAGATTTTAAATTCGAAGCAATTCTACTCTCAAACACTAAAGAACCTCGAACAGATTTCCAACGAAATTCATATGAAACGACAAGGAAAAAAGCAGGAGAATGACATGTTACGTGGACCCAGGGAACCAGGTGTCGGTGCTGAATTAACTTCAAACTTCGAAGAGATACCGCTCACCAAACAATATGCCTCACTGCCTGACATATCTACTGAGCTCGACAAGTACGATGGGTGCAGCAGTGGTATTGCCAGCTCGACGGTTAGTGAAAAAGATGAATGTGAATCAATTGTAGATAATGTCGATACTGTAGTTAGCAAATTAGATCAAATTGGCATTAGACCTGTCGAGGGGACTAGTGACAATAGGTTTGTTTCGGAGTTTTATTTGGGAAAGTTAAAAAATTGATTTTTTTCACTAGAGTAAAGGATTCGCCATTAATTTTATGACAAATGGGGTTACGTGATCATAAGTCAACATTGCCACACAATCTTATCTTCAATGGTATTGATTCTATAGGGTATTGAATGTGAACTTTTTGATATTTGTTATAGAAGGTAATAGGTATGAAGACAATGGTTGATCAGAAAATGTAGTGAAATGAAGACGTATTTAAAGTGTGCAGAGTTTGAGGTTATTTTAATATATTTCTAGTTTGAAATGAAAAAATTAGTCGACCGCTTTCTGCATTTATACAATCATCAGTACTTTAGAAGATTTGACAATTAAAAAACAAAACCATAAAAAATTAATTAAGAACAAATACTTCAAGGCATAGATGTAATACCAATGTATACTTTTAACTTCAACTATTGATTACACAGGTCTGCGTTTAAATACTCTGTAAAATGTGAATTTAACTTTTCAACTGAAATTGGGTATTTCAGTGACGCTGATTTCAAATCTGCTTTTAGTTTTTTTTCTATCACATAAGGTTTTTAAACAAAATACTACAAGAATGCAAAAAGTAAAAATATATTTATAGATACTTAGGATAAAAAAGAAAATAACAAACCAAGAAAACAAACAATAAAACCAGGGAAGTATTTAAAAAATGACATACATTAATCCTTTTTCTTGAAAAATCTTTCTCTCTTTCCGGAAAAGCTTCTTTTTGTTGTTTTTCGTTCATATTCTGCGGTAGGACGGTCTCTTTTAAGCATCCAATAGTAGTCGGCCATCATTTTGATATCCCAGCGCCCTTGATATCGCCGTTCCATCTCTTTTATGTCCTGGTGAAAGCGCTCCCCTTGCTCTTCACTGACATAATAATAATAATAATAATAATAATAATAAATTGCCTTTATTTGCTTGTAATATACAATGCACATAAACATCATGAGGCGAAGTCTAGCTTGCGCTACTCAACTTAACCTCAACATAAATATAAATTTAAAATAATCAAAAGGTATCCATCATTTACAATATAAAAAAAAAATAAGAAATTTAATATACAATTAATTTATGATTAAAAATGTTAACCCTGTATTTAATCTAAACTGAAATCAATGGAACTTAAAATACAATTAAATAAGGAAAAATGTTTGAAATTAATAATATATTAACGTTAGCACTGTATTCATTGCTCAACTAATAGCAACGTTTTATAATTTTGTTTCAAAAATGTCAAAGAACATGTCCTAATTTCCCTAGGTAGACTGTTATATATTGAAATGGCGTTATATGTGAAAGATCTTTTGAAAAATGATAATCGGTAATTCGGAATCGTTAAGTTGTGTGGATATCTTAAATGTAAACTGTGCAGATCCTTCCGATATATCAATTTATTTTTTAAGTATATGGGAGTTGAGGTTAAAAGAATTTGAAATACCGTGGCCGCCATCTGATATTTAAATAAATTTCCTATATTGAGCCAGCTAAGTTCTTTAATTTTATTTGATATTCTATCATACTTTCTGATACCAAATACAAAACGACAACAACAATTTTGAATCTTTTGAAGTCTGTATTTGGTTATTTGATCCAAACAAGGATAGTAAATTAAAAGTCCATAATTTAGGATGGACAATACAAGACTTTCACAAAGCAACTTACGTAATTTGAAACTCAAAATACCTCGATTCCTGTATAATTGACGAATAACCAGATACGATTTTTTGACTAGGAGCGAAACATAGTCCTGAAACCTTAATTTGCAGTCATAAATAATGCCTAAGTTTTTGGCACTTCTACAAGATTTTAGAGGTTCATTTTGAATGAATAGCTTAAGGTTCTGTTGTACATTATGTTCTATATTTTTAGGACAAAATAATATTGTATGACATTTACTGGCATTTAGTTTAAGGTTATGATTCATAGAAAATGTATATACTGCATTTAAATCTGAATTCATGTTTTGCGAGGCTATATCTACTTCACATGGGTCAAAGGAATAATATAGTTGCGTGTCGTCAGCAAAAGAGTGTATATTTACATGCTCCAATAATTTATAAAGGTCTGAAATATATATGGAAAACAAAAGGGGACCAAGAACCGAGCCTTGGGGTACTCCTGATGTTACACACATAAAGTTTGATGATTTCTCTAACGTTACTTTTTGGTAGCGGTTACTTAAATAAAATTTGAAAAATCTTAGTGAGGTTTCATCGAAACCAAAATATTTGAGTTTGGCACAAAGAAGCTGATGATCTATAGTGTCAAACGCTTTAGAAAAGTCAAGCAGAGTAACTATTGTAGCTTTTCCTTCATCCATTGATCTTATAATGTTATCTGTTAAATCTAATAGTAATGTTGTAGTACTAAACCCCTTTCGAAAACCTGATTGTTTAGTGGTTACAATATTATGAGAAAATACGTATGTATATATTTGTTTACTAATTACTTTTTCTATAATTTTGGACAACGTCGGTAAAATACTTATGGGCCGAAGGTCGCTAAATGTTTCAGGCTTATTTGATTTTGGCAAAGGCTTGATTAAGGAATACTTCCAGCTATCAGGAAAGTAACCAACTTCTAAACAGCAATTTACAATGTGCGTTATGTAAGGAGCACAGACTGAAATAGAAAGTTGTAACATTTTTGCTGAGATGTTATCAATTCCTAATGCGTTTGATTTTAATTCCAAAACTATTGACCTAATTTCATTTACTGTTGCAAGTTTAAAAGAGAAATTAATACCAGGATTAAATAGATTTGAGTTATAATAAGATGTAGTGTAAGGACAACAATTTCTCTGACTGAATACCGACGTAAAATACTTGTTTATATCAGTAGGGTCACTTAAGCCATCAGGAATATGGAATGTAGTTTTATTTGAAATATTCAAGGATTTCATTGCTTTCCAAAGGTCTTTTTTGTTTTGCATGCTTGCACGATAATTTAAATAAGCTGATTTTTCTTTCCTAATTGCACTAGTTACGATATTCCGCATTTCTTTGTAATGAATGAAGTCTAATATATTTTGGGATCTTTTATATTTAGAAAGTGCTTTATCTCGTGTTTTCATCATGTCCCGGATTGTAGGTGTCAACCAATGAGCATACGGTTTAGTAATTTTGGCTTCTACATAAGGAGCATGGTTGTCAAATAATATTGTGATTAGGTTGTTAAAAATCTGTATTTTCTTTTCAATATTATTTTCATAAATAATATTTAGCCACGGCGCACTCACTAGGTCTGCGTTGAAAGCGTTGATTGAGAAATATTTATAACATCTATACGTTTTTAATATCGCCAAAATTATCCGGAAAATAGTCAAGATGAGCATGTAGAAAATGAATTTTTAAGCTCATGTTACAGCCTAACTTTCTAAATTTGTCCAACATGTTTTCAACAATACTTTCAAATTCAGGGTCTTTGTAGTTTCCTAAAAACTTATTTATAACTTGTTTAAAAGCTATCCATGCTTTTTTTTTTCGTCTTCCATAACCGTCTCAATCTTATTTGTGGCCCAACAAAGATGCCTTCTTTAAATTTAGCTTTAGAGAGACCCGGAAATGTTTCACACAAGTACTTAAAGCAACCACCATTTTGTCTAGAGCTTTGACAAATTATTTCATCAGCCCCAATTTTATATGTAGAGGGGGTAATAAAATTTTCTCGGGATCAACTAGGCTTTCCCGAATTACGTTTTTGGAGCCAGGCGTTAAATTTTTTCTTGGTGGTCAGTTTTTTTTGGTCCAGTGGTCATCTCTTGCTCTACTGTCCCACTCACATAGGAAACATGGGTATTGTTGACCTAAAAGCAACCCTAAAATTTTAAGGTCATCACATAGAATCCAGTTATGTTGTCTGTAGTTTATTCTTAAAAGCAGTACCTCAAGATTTTCGTAATTTTCTTTTAGCTGAGTAGAATGACCAACAGGAACAGATGCATATAAATTGCCATTATGAAGTAGAACAGCTTTAATACTTCTCTTTGAAGAGTCTATAAAAAGTCTCCACTCGGCAGGATTGTATTCAGGAGTACCTAGGTGAATACCCAAGTCAGATACATTTTGACAATATACAAGTGAACCAGCTACGGCAAAGTAATTGACAAATTCAGCCTCACGATTTCTATACCAATAAAATGTAGTACCTGGAGCAAGTAATTTTTTTCTTTAAGCCTTGATTCTAAAACCTCAGAGAGGTCTTTTGGAAGTCTCAAATCCCTGACTAAGTCATTCAGTTCTACTTGAGAAAATAGCTGCGGTTCACGGGTTCCTGAGGTAGATGGCTCAAAAATGTTAATTTCTGAATCTGTTGAAGATTCTGATTCGATAGACTGTAATACTTTAGGTGGAACAGTACAGGTATATCAGCGTCATGTGGAACTGGTCTTATTGCAGACGAAAGATTAGGATAGTTAATATACTTTAGAGATTTTGTGTTATGACCTTTAATATCACAAAGACAAAAATAGCAGTCGTCAATGTGATCTTTAGGTTCTCTCCAGACCATTGGTATTCCAAACGGTAGGGCTTTTCTTGTTCCTTTAAACCAATGCCTCAAGGCTTCTTCGCAAATCTTGCAGATAACATGTGGCGCCCAAGGTTTATCTTGATCTCCAAGTCTGACTTTAAAATATGCATTTTTACGAAATCAGTAATGTTTCTTTTAAACTTCTTCACTATAAAGTGCCCACAAATATAACAAAAGTCATCAGGCCTATTTTTACAAACCTACTAGACATTTTTTTAATAGAAAGTGCACGACGAAACACCGATAGAATTCGATAGACAACGCCCGTCTCAATACCACGAGGATACTAAATATATCGCTCTCTTTTCTGAATAAATCGAGTCTCTGGGAATCCCCAACAATATTCTAGTAAGTACCGGTAAATCCCCCTACAAATGCACAAATTAAAACGCGTCTCGACGTTTTGAACAAAAATAAGGAATTCAAATTAATTTGTTTGTATTTGATACTAGTTTACAAAAAAAGTTTACGTGGTAGAATAAAAATGGGTTTATTTTAGCCATATAGAAGTTGTAAATAGGTAAAAAAAAAAAAATGGCTGGATCACAAAATTTTCGCGGGCCTGTGTTATTGATAACGTCCATTTTATTAAGATGATTTTTTAAGTATTCGTTTAGTGGTATAATGCATCTTTGGATGGGCGAATATAAATTTTCAATATGGAATAGAGTATCTTTGGGTCTTAATCGTATATCAGGTACATTTAAACTGATATTACTTAATATATTACGTTCCCATATCATACCATTAATGATGTCAAATATAAGCAGAATTGATGTATGTTCTCTACGTTTATTTAGCAATTCAATACTGAACTCAGTTCTCTGATTTTGCTAGGTATTTTTTAAAAACCTTTACAATACAACCTGTATATTATTACAAGTAATGAGTATTATACAAAATCCTGATTCCATGAACCGATAACTAATTAAAAGTTGTTTATAAGAGAAAACGCCTTGTATAATAATTGTATATCAACAAACCAATCAAAATATTGTTATGTTAGTAAATTAAAAACATTGTGTACTGCATCAAACAACTATAAGTAGTGTGTTTAAAAAATAATTATAATTTGATAGGTATATACAAATAAGAATATCGAAAATAAACTACTTTATTTTATAAAACAACACAGTTATATTTAATAAGAAAAGATCATATTATAATATCAGAAAAACAGTCCGTTTTTGGTTCTTTTACCAAGCATATATTCGTTAACATCAACAAGTTATCTTAATGTGTTCCATCCAAATATCCCATAAATAGTCTTAAGTTTGTTGGGTGTCGCATTATACAGCACCTCTGTTGTCGTCGTCATATTTCTTACATTCGGCCATTCTGTATATAAGCTTGTCCTCAGGCTCTTCGATGAACTGAAAGGGAAAGTACCAACTTCAAAATTGCCATGATCGTCGATTTTTAAAGTAATTTTGATATCCATTGATGCATGAATTATTAACCCCAAAATAAGATCTTGTGTGAAGTAGGGATTGCTATGATTATTTCTCGTGGCGCTCCGGAGTGACTTACAGATGATTGATGGTGCCATTAGAGTCATTCCATTTAAAATCGTCTAATTGGCAAAGCTGACACATCTTAGATTTTGGTGTAACTTTGAAGAACTATTCTTTAGGGTCTCAGAGAAGATAATTTACACGAGTTTGATTTTGATAAGCACTTGTTTCCGCCTAGTTAAATAAAGACTTTAAAAAATCGACATTTTTAAGCCTTATCGACTTTTCCTCTGAAATTTTTCTTTTTGAAGATAACTACATTTATTAAAGCGGAATTCTGAGGGGGAAAGATAGTAGTTTAAGTGTAAGCATCGATAATTTGCTCAGTCAATACCTCTGATTAACGGCAGCGTGCTGAAAATGAGTGTTTTTTAATCATTTTTCGTGAATTTTAATCGACTCTAGCGTCTTAACTGCTTAGACTTAGCAGCTTATGTTCCTCAGGAATTAAGTGTATATATCATAGGTAAAATACAGCCACAAGTCAACCTGAGCAGCCCACTCTTTGCTTGAAGTTTTGAAATTTTCAAAAATTGCATTATTCAGGTTATATAATGAACGTGTTGACTGCCAGATAAAAATCTGAAATTCTTAGAATCTTGTAACAAGTTATGTTGGTTTTACTTACCGTGTTTTAGCTCAATTTAATTAGGGCCGTGAGTAGCACTTAATAACCTTGACAAAACTTAACTATAGGAAAGGTATGGAGGGCGCCACCAAACTTACATAAACATATCATTTAAGGTGAATTATAATAGTTTGGCAAATATAATTAATATGACTGATGTTAAAACAGAACGTATATGTTTATGCAGGCAAGTAACAATTACAATCTACACAAGCCATGATTCGTTTAAATTACTTCTTTATTTAATGTTTCAAAGATAAAAGTGAAACTTATCTCAAAGTAGGACTGGTGTAGGTCTTTAATCTTTTCAAATAAGGACGGTCTCCTACAGCGATGCGTCTTCTTCTAAATATAAATTAACATGTTTGGTATCATAACTGCAACTATCTTCTAATCATAATACATATTTGGGACCATAACTTCAACTGTATTCTAACCATTTGTTTAAAAAATATATTTTAAACTATGTTCTCAGCGGAGTTGTAATAAAACCATCCAAAGGTTGACTTATCTAAAAGATTGAGACCTTTTTGAAGTTTACGTAATAAGGAAAAATAAGGAACAAGGAGGTAAGATGTTTCTGAACACATAATGAATAAAAAATAATCTTTACAGAAATTAATGACACGTTCTAAAACATCTAACCTCACATTTTTAACAACTAAATAAATCTCGATCCATTTCGTTAATCTTTGCAGAAATCTTGTAAATATTAATCTTGTACTCACCATAAAATACTGATGGTTCTCACCACTAATAAAAATATCACATACTGTTTAAGATTACTTAAATATTAGCAGATTTAATAATCTCGACTGCCTCGTTCTGAGGTATTATTGTAAAAGGCTTTTTCAAGTAATACCTGTCGAAATTCACTTTCGATCCGAACATACAACTTATAAAAAACAAAAAATAACTATATAAAATATTGATAGCGAAAGAATGAAACTATCGGTCCTAATAGAGATGGGACAATCATTTTAAAAATACAGTTTTAAAATATTAAAAAATAACGGTACTAGAAGAGTAACCGTTACAATCTACTGTTCTTACCTTTAACTTTAAATGACCGTACCACTTGTTTTGTTATTTTTATGTTTAGTGCATGTGCAAGTCGTTTTTTACAGCAAAAATCAACTCAATTTTTTTATTTTATAATCTTATAAATTCAGTTTTTCTTGAATGTTTTTCATAAAGATATATAAGAATCCTATACATAGGTCGAAATTTTTTTCAAAATAGAAGCATCTAGTTATTTGGAAAGAAATAACATTTTTTAAACTTTTATGAAGCTATTTTGTTTTATATGAATATAAAAGGAGATCCACGAAGCAAAAAAAAATTACGGTAATTATTTAATATTTTTATCAGTTTGTAATGATGAGAGAAATTCTAAAAATTTTGTTAATTAACAATAACCTACTTTGTTGGAAAATTAATTTTTATGAAAAATTCCAACGGGAATGAATTCTTCTAAGTGTTTAAAATACACTGTAATTTTTTTAAATTTTTGAATTTAATTTTATTAACTTAAAAAAATTATTTTATGTAAAGTACTCGGTTTCGACGCCGTGCGCGGAACCTAAAAATGACGCGCGGAAGGCTATTTTAAATTAAAATTATAAATAATAGAGGTACAGTTCCGGGAATCGAAACTTATTTATAACAAATTTCCGCCTCTTTAAGGATCTTTTTTGAAAAATCCAAAAATATTTATAGTTTACAAACTATAGGCGAAAAACCAAACACCATGTTTTTGATGTGTTTAATTGTTTATAACTTTTGCAATTTTTTATGCACTGTAAAATTATCCTTTACACATTTATCTAGACATTATTCCGAATCGAATGAGCTATTGAACATAATTTTCGTAATAGTATGTCCCAAAAACACGCTTTTGAACTTGTTGATTAGACTACAGAACATTCTCTGGTATGCTATTCTTTACATTTTGAGCAACATTTCCAAAAAAAGTTGTTAAAATCATCCAGAGTTAGATTAGTGTCCAGTTTTTTCTGTTTTGATTTTGAGTTATTAACAAGGCTCCATATTGCGTTTTGAGGATTTGAGACATTTGTAATGAAAGTGTTATTTGCTCTTTTCTTTGCTGCAGCCAGTTCCTGGCGAAATTTTTTACGTTCCTGTTTGAAAGTGTTTATGATGTTAGGAGTGTTTCGCAGCTTAAATAAGTCATACAGAAAATTTAATGTTTGGCTCATCTGCTTAAGTTCTTCTGTGTACCAAACGATTGACAAGCTATCTGTTTTTCTAATTTTTTTCTTTTCTGGAAAACAGGTTTCAGTTCCTCTTTGCATAATTTCAAAAAAACTAGTTAAATTTTTGATTTATTTAGGTATTAGGGTCAGTCACAAAAGTCCAGTTAATCTGTTTTATGAAGTTTAAAAAATTGTTTAAACCCTTTTTCGTTATTGGACGGTATTCTGTTGTTTCTGGTTTGTTCACTTTTATGGGTAATTGAAAAGACATTGAGATATAGCTATGATCTGACAGGCCTTTGACTTCAGTGACGTTTGTGTGAGTAATAGTCTCAATATTGGATACAATATTGTCAATACAGTTTTTCCCATTGGTTGGTTTGTCTATGTGCAGAGTAAATAAGAAAGAATTTGTTAAGAAAAGATAAGGCTAAATTGTAATATCAATTCTAACTTGATAATGTAACTGTTGCACTCTACAGGGTGTTACAATTTTTATGAAAAAATCACGCTATAATTGCTACACCCTATATTAATAAAAAAGAGGGTTTTATGCTAACACAACACACATACGTTCTGGAAAAGACAACCTATCATTCAAAAAAAAAAAAGTGATTTTGACAAATATTTACTTTAAACTTTTTGTCATTTTCTGATGGTGCAGTAATTTGTTGGGGAAGTGTATAAACAAGCAAAATCCGTATTATTGAAGATAAGAGTTTGCGGCAATAGTGACTTATTCAGGAAGTCGACATCTAGATACAACTCATAGAAAATTATCCACAAAAATGTTTCTAAAATAGATAATTACGGATAAATCAGACGCAACAACATATGTGACTTTTTCTACGCGATTTGTTATAAGATTAGTGCATATCCGTTGTTGGTTCTTATAAAAAAGTTTATTTTTGGAAATGATTACAAGTTTGAAAAAAAAAAATAGTGGTTGAGTACGTTCTAATTTTTATTCGTTAATTCGTTTTCAAAATTATAAGAACGACCAATAATTATTAAATAAACTAATAATAAAATATGAAATATAAATTTATCGAGAAAAACCAAATATTTTTTAATTTAAAATATAATTTTATTTATTATCATTCATTTATTTGTTTAAATTTTATGAAGTGTGACGAATCGTCAAAAAAATTAATAATAAAAGTTGTAATCAAGGAAAGATTACCAAAAAAATGCTTGTAAGGCTTGTCCAATAATAAACTTTTATGATTGTTTCGGTAATAAAATTAATAGTTTCAATTAAAATAAACAACAGTAGGCGTTTTGGTTGATTGATCGCACTTGATAAACGACGATAATATAAATATCGAGTCATTTTTGACAAATTTCCTATAAAATTTTAAAATTATTACATCGGGTTGTGAGAATATTTTCAATATTTGTACCTTGTCTATTTTTGTATCGTACTTTTGAGTCTAACTCATAACGAATGTTAAAACATTGAATTGTATTAAACTTGTTTAATATTTTATAATATTTTTATTATACAATAGAAAAAAATGTTCGTTTCAAAAACAGTTTATTAATTATTTTTGTATTATAATTCGATGAAAATGTTATTTTATTTGTTCCAAATTTGAAGTCTATTTTTTTTAGGATCTGTTGGTAAAAGTGCAATCAGTTTTGTGAATAGCTGTTAAATATCAATATTTTCAATTGATATTAATTCTATTTATAAAAAAAAACACTTCGATATATCTACGAATAGAATTTATGATATAAGTGGATTAAAAAATGTTATTTTTGATCATTAGTATGGAATCTAAAATTTTATTTAAAAGGAAACATATATTTTCAATTTCTCTTTAGATTTCGGAATAATATTGACGTTTGTCTTTATGTGAGATCTGAATAATAATAGAAGTTATTATTGTCAATACAGTTGTTCCAGTGGTTCTTTACACATGCGTCATAACTAATATGCATATAAAATAAGTCAAGAAACTTAAGTCAAAAATTTACTGTCTTGAAATTAAAAATGGTGTGGCTACTATTCTGGCGTCTAAATAGTATATATTTTTAAAAAAAATAGGGAAAAGAAAACGCCTTTGTTACAACTGTTAATCCAGTTCAAAAATAACAGGTGCAAAATAACGCCACAACAAAACGGTTGGCGATTGCTTCCTCGCGAAATGCGACTTGACGAGAACATGTTGGTCGATACTATTCATTGCCGTTGATCGTGCCGACAAATTTGCACTAACATGCGTTACAAGCGTTATTTTATTAACGCTAATAGCAATCGTTATTTAGGTATTTTTTATTACTGTTTCAGTATCGCATACGTTCAAGTTTCTAGGCATATTGACGCTGGACTCTGGACCATTTCAAGTCTACTAACATTGAGAAATGGTCAAGTAGTCAGGGGCCTGGGGTATTGTTATTTCGTTTTAAGTAGGTGCACGGCGTTCACTATGTAGTTTCCTAGTTCAACCCCTAGATGTTAAAAATAACGATAACCTGTTGCTATTTTTTTAAAAATAACAGTTGTAACTGTTAAATGAAAATAACGCTTTTTCCCACCACTAAGGTGTCCCTCCTTGAGCCAACGAACAGGGTCAATTCACCAGTTGGATAGCTAACCACAATATATCCCCTTAGGGCGTCTCACTTGTTAAAGAGATGGCACTAAGTTTGCAGCGCTAAATGCGACTGGCTGCTCAACTAACTCGATATGGCGGTAAATTCAAATATAATTTTAAGGCGAAATTTAAATTTCCCGCCAAAATCCTAATTTCCAGCAGCAGAATGGCGGGAATTTTTAAATATATACATTCGGCAATAATATGGCAATAATAATTGAGAAAAATTATTAGACTTCAATTTTAAAAGCTGTTGCCACTGGAATACTATTATCTAGGGCTTGGATGACAGCCATAGGACTCCCTCCTTGAATCGTGTCCATTGAAAAGCATTAGATCTTAATTAAATTATAATATTAGAGGGTATTAACTAAAAAATATGAAAAATTATTACAAACTTACGTTAAAAGTGACACCTTCATTAAAAGAAGAGAAAACTGAAACATAAAATTGTTATACATGCATTTTAAAGGCTTTTCCCACTGGAAAAGTATTATCTAGAGCGGGGACCCTTGGATGACAGCCATAGCAATCCCTCCTTGAATCCTCTTTTTCTGAGTTTGTTGTACGTTTTGCTTTCCATATTAAATAAGTAAACACCTAATATAACACAATAAATATCGCTAAAACTAAATTAATAGTAATAAACGATATAAATTTCGTAGAAGAAAAAATCAAAAAGTTATCACTTGTCAATACTGACACTTCGTCTTCAACCATTGAACGTGCCGATGTTAGACGTGTCAAAATTCAAAACGATACTAGCGCCATGTGGCTCTGTGTCTGGCCGCAGCGTAACTCAAAGCCATTTCTTGAATCCCAGTGACATTACTATAGGGGATATATTGTGTAGCTAACTATTACATTTAACCATCTGGGTTTGCGTAGATTTGTGTGCATAAATAATCCAAGACGATACGTCCCTGTATATTTTTAAAATGTTGATTTTTATATTTTCTATTGAAATGACCCAAATTCATCCATCAAAAAACATGTCTACCTAACTGTCTTTCGGGGTAGATGCCCGATGGCGATCTGGTTTATTGGGTTATATTGATATTTTGAAGCAAATGTCATCCCTTATTCAAACAACACTCGCCATCGAAAATACAGACATTAGGTTCATCTAAACTAGACATGTACTAATTTTATCTAGTGTTGTGACGGCGTCGATTTTGGGTACGTCGCAGCGTTGAGCGTCGCCTTGCGTTGAGACGCCTAGCGGTACTGCATTGGGACGGATCCAAGTTAGAAAATACAGTATGACTACGTGGGCTTACAAGCAAAAGATATTAAGTCAAAAAATAGGTTTATGAGTTTCAAGCAATTTAAGTTTCAATGAAATTCTAATTTTTTTTATAAATTATTTAGGGATTATCAACTGTTTCAAAGAAAATGTACATGCTTTCGGAATACAATGTATGGTTTTTACATGATATACAAAAATATAAACCCATTTTGACTTGGTGCCTTTTGCGTGTAAGCCCACGATTAGAAATATACAGTATTGAATCGAAAATAAATATATTGCTCACCTATAAATATTAACAAATTCAATAAAAATTACAAAGTTAGTGGCTATTATAATAGCTAATGATATGCTCTATTTACCCACTGTTCAATGGTTTAGGCTTTTGAAACTTCAGCTCAAATTGAGATCCAACCCATTTAATGCTGGGCCCATTATTTCTGCCATACTCGTAAAAGCGATTATAAGCGTCTCTTATAAAAAATTTCCTTCGGTTGTAAGCATCTTGTTCACAGACAGTGTTGTATACCCTGACAGATAACAAGTTAGTGTTTATTTAAAACTAGTTTGACAATAGTGTCACTTCCATGGCAACTCTAATTAGAGTTACAATTTCGGTACTGTATATTTATGGTCATATTGTATTTAGGTGGTCATAACGGGTATTAGAGAGTTGAAGTGATGTTATGAACGTATACGTGAAATTTGATATCTGCGCATGCGTTTTAAAATATCCTTCACGTTTACGTCTACGTACATACGTAAACTTACGGGCTCTGGCGTATGCACGCAACGCAAACAAAGTAACCTCTTTTTAATTGGAAAAGAAGAAATCTCAATATAAATTGTCATTATTTGTCATGACACATAAATGTCACGATGCATTTAACAACTTCAACTCAAATTTTGTACAGCAACGTAAACATTTTTCTGCGTTCACGTTTACGTTAACGTACTAGAAACGCTTCAACTCTCTATTATGAAGGAAATATTTGGGTAGGTTTACGTGGCTGAAAGCGTAGGGAAGTAGGGTGGAGGGACGTTGATCGTCGGAACGTGAAAGCGTTCGGAAAATGGTTAGTCAGAACGTAGAAAGGTAGGGAAGTAGGGCGGCGGGACGTGAAAGCGTTCGGGACGTAGGAGCGTCGATAGGAAGTAGGGTAGGAAAGACGTCGGTTAGGAAGAGCGTCGGTTTAGGAACGGTACTGAATATTGAACTTGAAATATAATTAAATTTGAAAAGCAACTGC